TTCTGAGGAGTGGCTGGTGGGTTTGAACTGCCAACCTTCTGGTAAGTAGTCAAATGCCTTAGACATCGCATCACCAGAACTCCTTACAAAATGCAGGCAAGACATAAAATTCAACTGTCATTACTAAGAAGAACTCGATTTTAGAAACTAGGAAGATATTTCAAGTTAATAAGATTTTCGAAAAACAATGGCAAATTACTGATAAATACTGGAAACATTTTCATTAGGAGCAATGTCAGGAAAATCCCACAGTGCCTCAATTCCTTATCCATAATACTGAAGCCCCAAACTTCCGAATATTTTTAAGTGTTTTCAGAATCTTAGTGGCAAAACTAAACCCAAATCCATTGAAGTCACAGTTTTCATTGTTCCCACTTAACATGGACATGTAAATATTTCCCTTCAGAAATAGTATGTTTAATTACAACATGTCGCCCCAGACCCATTGATTACTGCTAAAATGATTCGATGAAAAGCTGATGGGTAACTTTAATGACTGGATCAGGGAGACAGCTTCTGAACCCAGTGATCAATCTTATCACATAGCTGACAACCAGACACTGCTTGCTTCTTGATGGTAAGAGTGGTTAGACCAGCTGTTAAATATTTTTTGGTAAAAACCAAATAAAACAAAACCACCACCTGTTTCTTTGTGGTATTCTAGGAGTAAACGTAAATGTACAGTTCTTTGTAGTATTAGGGTATATTTTTTCTCTAGCACCGACAAAGCAAGTAAACCAAGTAACTCAGATAACTGCTGTTACCCTGTTTCAATTTATGGGTTGTTCTTCAATTTCAACTGTTTTTATCCAATGCTCAACAATAAGAACAGCAAAACTGAATCAAATTTATTTACCTATGGGTTTACAGGGAATGAAAACTCAACGAACAACCCATTGCTGTAGAGTGGATTCCATCTCATGGCAACCCTATAGGGCAGAGTAGAACTGTCCCATAGCATTCCCAAGGCTATGATCTTTACAAAAGCAGAATTCCACATTTCTCCTGCAGAGCAGAAAGTGGATTCAAACTGCTGACCTTTCAGTTAGCAGCCTTGCTAACCACTGCACCACCACAGGATACCGAAGGTAAAATACAGAGAGGTACAATTAGCCAAATCTGAGAATTCTGTGAAACAGTCTTTTTTCTTTAACCAAAACATTGAAAAAAAGAGGGGGGGGGACCTATGGATTGAAAGCAATTTAAGAAACATATAATCAAAATGGTATAAACCTTAATTAGATGCTCCTTTGACTAAACTACTCATGGAAATAGTTGATGAGACAATGAGAAATTTAAACAGATAAACAGACTGTTTTGGTTCTCTCTAGTACTGCTCTAACAGAAGATAACACAAATGGGCGACTTTAACAGAGATTGATACACTTACAGTTTTGGAGGCTAGAAGATTGAGTTCAAAGTGCCAGCTCTAGGGGTGGGGTGAAAGCCTCTCGACCTTGGGCTTCAACTGTCTCTTGCTCCCAGCCCACTGGAACTAGAGGTGTGTCTTCACTCAGCCAACTGCTGGCTCCTGAGGCTGCCAACCCCAAGGTCGACAAATACAATGGCACAGTCCCGATATTACCACACAACACGGCGCCCACTAGTTCAAGTCCAGAGACAGTCCCAAGATCAGCAGGATACACAGCAGGCTGCTAAATGAATACTTGGCTACATGCAGGATCCAAGCATGCGAAAAAGCTGCAGACCATTCCCAAAGCTTTTCCTTATATACTGGAAGCAGACCACAGCCCTAAAGCAGCTGCTCACAGCAGATTCCACCATGGAGTTGAATGCCAGTCTAATCGTGGAGAATAACTACAAGCAGCTGCCCAGCTAATCAAAATCAGGCCCAGCCAAGTTGACACACAACCTCAACTCCCACAGACTGGATATTTGATGGGAACAAATAGTCATTAATGTCGTACAGGCATGATAATAATATTGTGCTTTTTTTAAAAAAAGTCTTCATCCTTTAGAGACACATACTACACACTAATGTATTATCAAGGAAATATGCTGTTTGGAATTTGTTTGAAAATAATCTAAACACACAGTAGGATGTTTGCAAGTGGACATCAGCAGAGATGAAATAAGATTGGCCATGTGTTAACTATTGAAACTAGGTGCCAGGCAAATGTGGGTCATTAAAATATTCTAGTTTGGTGGTTTTATTATCTACATAAAAAAAATTCTTTTTTAATTCAGCTGTACTGAATAGATTTGAACTATAATTATTGTATGTAAACTTGAGAAATAAAAAAAAAAACAAAAGGAATTATAGACTAACATTTCTGTAAATCTATAATCAGTGTAGACTTTCTAAGCATGACATCAAAGAAATTGTAAAGGCAGAGATCAATTGATTTGACTACATACAAAATGTAAAGTTCTGTGGAAATGGTCATAAATAAAGTCAAAAGATAGAGTGAAAAACACTAGCATATGGCAAAAGGCAAAAATTCTTCATATATAAAAAAACAAACCCATTTCCACTGAATCGATTCTGACTCATAGTGACCCCTATACTGTTTCCAAGGCTGTAAATTTTCATGGAAGCAGACTGTCTAGTCTTTCTTCTGTGGAGCAGCTGGCAGATTCAAACCCCCTGACCTTCTGGTTAGCAGCCAGATGCCTTACCACAGCACCACCAGAGTGCTTTCATATCAACAAATTAAAAATTCCAAACCACCACAGAAAATGATAATGGTTAAGGATGTAAGCATTTTAAAAATAATACCAATTCAACAGACATTTGTGGTAGTTAAATTTGTATGTCAATTTGGCTGGGCCTGGTTGAGTGGCTGGGCAGCTGGTGGTAGTTACTCCCCATGATGAGACTGGCAATCAACTCCATGGTGGGATCTACCACAAGCAGCTGAGTAGCTGCCTGTGGGATGTGGTCTGCTTCTTGTATAGAAGGAGAATCCTTGGGGATGGTCTCTTAACTTATGGCACGCTTGAACCCTGCATGTAGCCGTGTTGTTGTTCAGGAGTCTGCCATGCTCTGCCGACCTGGGAACTTAAAGGGACTTGAATTAATGGCCTGCCGTGGAGTTTGGTAACGTCGGACTGTCTTTCTACTTGTCAGCTTTGGACCTGGCAGCCTCAGCAGCCAGCAGCTGTCTGAGTGAAGAAATGTCTCTAGCTTCAGTGGCCTGGGAGCTAGAAGCAGAGCTGAAGCCCAAGGTTGAGGGGCTTTCACCCAGCCCCTAGAGCCTGGCACTTTGAACATGGACTTAAAGCCTCCAAACCGTGAGAGAATAAACTCCTGTTTGTTAAGGCCATCCCATTTGTGGTATATTCCTGTCACAGCAGCACTAGGGAACCAGAACAACATGACAGCAGGAACACAGTGAAAAGCTGTGGGGATGTGAAATACCCATTTATAAGCAACAAATTGAAATTATGATACACTTTATTCAACAGCAATATGATAGCAGATAAATTTGCTTATTGCTAGGAAACACTGTTCCACAAATGAGTATATTTTTATTTAAAAACTTATGCACATTAAAACAGGAAAGGTTTCACAAATATAACAAATGTATGGTATATTTTTATTTAAATTTATTTAAAAATTATACACATTGATACATAGAAAGGGATCTGAAAAGACAGTAGTTCTCTGAGGTTGTAAGTACTTAATATTTTCCTTGACTATAATTTCCTGTAATGAATTTCTTTATAATAATAAAAGTCTTTAAACATTAGCCCTAGCAATAAAACTATAAACAGCTTTTAAAAATTCATACATAGTAGCATTTTCTTTCCTTTTCAAATTCTTTGGCATTCAAATTACTAATTATCTTTTAATCAAACATTATTGAGCCAAATGTATGTATTAAGAAGGACAGGCACATACATATTGTATTTTAAGGTTCAGATCAAAGGAAAAAAGAATAAAACCTGAGGTAAGATAGCATGAAAAAGCTGAAGTTATCAAAGGATTTATAGGACAGAAAAGCAAAATCTTATCAAAATTACTGTAATTGGAATCATAAAGTAAATGAATGCTTACTTCATCTGTGTAACAGCAATGATTTGTCATCAAGGTCTTTAACAGTTCAATACATTTAATTTAATAAACTTTGGAAATACAGACAATTCATGAATTTGTTTTCAACCACATGTGAGGTCATCACTAACATTTCTGATAAGGAAGATGGCAGACTCCTTTAAGTTTATCATATTTTCACCACTATTCTAACACGTTACTTAACAAACTTTTGTCTGGAAGTCAATTCACGTGTCAATCTCAAATACCACTACTATCTATTCTGTAACACAATGTCTTATTTCAATGGTTTTCAACTATATTTTAAAACTAAATAAAAGCCTTAGAAAAAAATTTTCCTTTATTCCCTTCAAGATAAATTTGAGTCTAAACAGTTGACAATTTTGTTCAAAATTTTAATAAGGGAACCTGTCAAAACAGGTTCACATTTTTAAGAGTTTTCAGACATAACTATAAATTTGTTACTTTTGCTCAATTCAATATTTTTGAAGAAGTTTATTAATAAGAAATCTGTGGATGCACTAAAGAACATACTTAGGCACTGAAGTAAATACTTAACAATAAAGAGAATAAATATTAACACTGGCTAATGCCGTTAGGAAGGGGTATATCCTACCTACTACTGATAGAAATGATAAGAACCAGTTGGTGGTCTGACAGCGTTAAGTCCTCCAACATCAAAACTGAAGAGCTGGTTCTATGAGCAAGTGTCAATTGTAGTTTGTTGGAAGGCAGTGTATTGTCAGCATACGGCTTCCTCTGATGTTCTTCCCAACATTCAAATTCTTTTGTAATCAGGCATTTATCAGATTCTGCAACTGTTTAACAGGAATACCGAACTAACTAAAGCTGACTCTGGCATCAACATTAACAAGTTTACTAATGTTTCTACTGTAAATTTCACATTTCTAATAAAGTTTTATGTAGACGTTGGAATTCAAAAGGCCAAGTGTGTGTTTTACTTGAAATTACATAATTTTTTTCATGAAAAAAGTTGTCTAGTAACATAGATTGCTTCTGCATCAGTTCCACACACAAGACAAGACCCTAAAACATCCAGACTGTTCACAGACAGAGTCCTGTTGGGAAGCAAGCTTGTGATTTCAATCCGGTCCTTGGCAGGGTCAGTGGTGAGCCAGGAGCTTAGGAGAGACTGGTGAGCATTAGCCTGGCTGCTAATGCTGTGAGACAAAAAAGTACTGTTTCTTCCTCCTGGGAGAAAAAAGGGGGAAAAAACTCTTTCAAGAGAATTTTATAGTCCAAATGCAAAATTCCAGAGATTTACAAATGCGATGATTCAAACTTGTTGAATTCTGAAAATAACAGACTGATAATTCCATTATCACATACTGTTTACAAATTTTTGTAAAATATACATAGCAAAAAATGTGCCATTTTAACCATCCTTAAGTGTACAATTTAATGACATTAATTACAGTCCCCATGTTGCACAACCATCACCATTATCCACGTCTACAAGTTTGTCATCACCCTGAACAGTAACTTAGCATCTCTTACATAGTAACTCTCCATTCTGCCAGTAACCACTCATCAGTTTTGTCTATATGTATGTGCCAATTTTAGGTATTTCATGTAAGACACATTCATCATTTTTGATAAAAGGATTATTCAGTAATATCAAATATGTAAATTTCCATGGGATAATATGACTCTCAAATGTTGTCTTTATGCAAAACTGATTTAATTTTGGCCCTGTTTTCCGTTCATCTTTCAATGCAAAGTCTCAGAAATGTAGCAGAATGGCCAGAAGCCAAGTAGAAGAAATAAAGGAAAAAGAAACCAAAAAATTTAGATAATACACAGAAATAAAACTCTTAAATAATAAAAAATTAAGTCATTATGAGAAACCTTCTGAACATATTTCCAGACAATTCTAATAATATAATCAGCTTGCTTTTGACCTTCTATTTTTACTTTTTAGAGAAATGTTCTTATAAGTAGAATTTTAGAACATGACTAGATTTTAATTTGTAATTCTAACAGTGCTCTGCAATTAAGGCAGAACAAAGTGAGGCAGAAGTAGCAGATTTCAATTTTAGCTATTATTTGCAATTTTCTTCCCAGTCAATACTCTGTCAGATCAAGTAATGGTAGATTTCATTCATTCAACAAATACCCGAAAACCTACTATGGCCAGGCTCTAAGAATACAGGTGTCAGGTTCTAAGAATACAAAACAAAGTCCCTGAGTAAAGATCAGTAGGTTTAAGTCTTACTGATTTTTGAAGGCCCAGCTCAGCTGTTTTCTCCAAGAAGCCTTTGAGGCCTCTAATTCATGTTGCTCTCTTCCTCCCTAGAGTCTTCACCACTTACCATTCATTTCCTACCTTGCAACATGTACTATGACTTAACTCCACATGCCCCTTCTCCATAACCAAATTAAATACTTCAGAACAGGCTGATTGTTTTATATTTACCTTTTCACAGTGTCTGATGCTGGGCCTTTTAGTAACAGACACAGAGTACAGTAAGTAGCTTTATTTTCAGTCTAATCAAAGTGCTTCAAACAGCAACGTTTCAAATGCAAGGTATAGGGGGAGGGGAGGAAGGAAGGAAAAACCAAGTGCTTAGCCTAATCCTTAAATAAAAGGACAAGTTACTTCATAAATGAAGTCAGCATAGGTATTGTTAGGCTGGGTTCTCTAGAGAAGCAAAACCAGTAAAGCTCATATATATAGAGAGAGAAAGAAATTTATCTTAGGAAAATGGCTCACACACTTATAGAAACTGGCAAGTCCCAAGTTCCTGGATCAAACGTCAAACTGGAAGCTTTCCCCGACTCATGCAGCTGCAGGGGCTGATGAGCTCGAGGTTGGCAGGCAGTATACAGGCTATTGACTCTGATGGATGACGACTCCAAGATCACTAGGCCGAATGGTAGACTGCTTGCTCACAGATAGCTGTAGGCAGCACAATAGGATCCAGATCCACAGAACAGTGTCTCATTTTCCAGAATGTCCATATATTTATTGGAAGCAGGCCACACCCCTAGGGAAACGCCCTTTCAATGGACTGGCTGCTCAAAAAATATACATCTGATCTCATGATAGGAATAACCACATCACAACTGCTTAAACCACTCAGAATCGTGGTCCAGCCAAGTTGACACACAATCCCAACAATCCTAGGTGTCGATGCCTGCTCCACACATTCCATACTTTTCTGGAGTTTTTAGAATTTTTTTCTCTTATTAGTCCTGTACTTTACACTGGCCCTGAGTACTGTAAAAATCAGCATGAGAACCACTGTGCTACGCCATCTGGTCTCTCTGCTTCCACGTTTCCCATCCCTTCCCCACAGCCCATTATCCACACAGCAGCCAGTGATTGTCTGGAAATCTAAGTCAGTTCACCAGTCCCCTGCTCACAACTTCCAATGGCTTCCTATCACACTCAGAGTAAAATCGAATGTCTGTACCATGGCCTACAAAACCCTACAGGGTGTGCACCTCAGCTACCTCTCCTACCACCTGCCATCTGCCCACCTTGCTCACTGACCAGCATCCCCACTGGCCTTGCTGTCATCTGCTTCCTGTCTCAGGACCTCGGTATCTGATGCTTGGTCAGCCTGGAATGTTTTCACGTAACTTATACCTTGACTACTTCTTGTCACCTCCACCAAGGAGCCTTTCCTTATACTTCCCACCAGAACCAGAGCCCCTGCCTTTATTCTTTACCCTCTATGTTTTACTTTTTTTTTAAAAAAAAAACATTTTATTGTGGTTTGGGTAAAATTTACAGAGCAAATTCATTTTCCATTCTGCAATTTATATACATTTTGTGTGTGTGTGTGTGTGTGTGTGTGAGACATTAAGCTGCCGTTCCCTCAGTGTAACAGTACTCTTCCCACTTCCTCCCTGGGTTCCTCGCTGCCATCTATCCATCCTTCTTTTCCTAACCCCTTGCTGCTTTCTAAACTTTGTTTTTGGGCAAATGCTGCCCTTTTGGTTCCAGACGGCTGCCTGTTGTGAGGAGCACGTTCCTCCTTTAGTCTCCTTCCCAGTTACTGTCACTGTATTAGGCCCAGTTCCCCTGCTTTCAGTTCCCTTTCCCACTGTTCTGGGCTCCACTAGGTCTTGGGGCTGGGAGCCTGCAAACTCAATTTTCCAGGCTCCCTTCCCACCTGACTTCCAGATGGATCTACCAGTGGGAGGTACTGATGGGTGAGTGGAAGGCGGAAGAGGGAGAAGCAGCCCTCTTCCAGCTCTGTTTCTGGCAATGACAGTGCTGGCAGCTGTTCCGGTTCTGGCTGAGGTGGCACTTTTCTGCTGATCCAGACCAATTCTGACAGCATTTCCAACAGTGCAGCAGCAGGGATATTAGCAATTTTTCATCTCTGGGTAATATCCTTTCTTCCTATTTGCTCTTCCAGCCCTTCTAAGGAGCTCTGGTTGGAAGGAGGACTGGGCAATCTACTTCCGTAGAGATACTGCCTTGGAAACCTAAGGAGGGGTTGCTATGGGTCAGGACTGATCCAATGGCAGTGAGTTTGGTTTGACTTCTGGTTAAGGAGCTCCAGTGGCGTAGTGCCTAAGGCATGTGACTGCTAACCAGAAGGTTGGTGGTTCAA